AATGAGGTTCCCACCCAGCCTCCCTGGGCAGGTCTTTCCTCCAGGCCGATGACAACTTTATAGAGGGGCTGGAGATGGCCAGGAGTGTCCTCGCGCCCCCAGTGCCAGCACTCATGAGCACTAGCATGACCTGCCTGGAGATTGCCGCGTGCCTATATGGTGAAAAGATACAGAACTAGTGACCCTCTCTACGGTTGGCCTACCTTGAGAACCTCTTCTCGCTGGGGATGCTCAAAAGAGGGTCTGGTTCTGCCGAAGGACTCCAGAGGCTGGACACAAAAACGCCTTGCTCTCTCATGCAGATCCTGCAGGGAAGACCTGCAGACCTTACTAAGGTTAAAGTGGAGACAGGCATGGCACCAAAGGGAAGCTCTTTGCCTCCATTGTCCCCTGGACAGGTCATCACCCCTGCAAGATTGCTCTGTCCTCCACACTGCTAATTCTGAAGGCTGTGTATTGGGTATGGGAGCTTGGGTTCATGGTGGTACGTGGCTTTGGAGACCTCTTGGGAGATCTAGTGATCCTAACCTCTATTAGCCAGATATCTTGCGATCACACACTTTAACTTTTATCTCATGGATCCTGTGAAGCATGTAGCTCAGTTATTTTCCTTTTCCCATTGGCTGCCAGGAAGCTCTACCCCATAAGCCCACAAGTTATTTGGCATTTGGAACTGATCCGGCTCCTTCTTTCAGACTTTTCTGCTCCTGTTTTCTCTTTGCCTCGTTTTCATCACCCCATTTTCCTTGGGAGGAAAAAAAAAATCCCCTGGATGTTTTGCTTTTTTAATCTTAACCAAACAAACATCCATGGTGGGTCAGAGCTCGCTGAACAGGTTTAAACATGCAGTTTCCTGAGGTCACTTTCCAGCTGAATTCTTCCCTGCCCAAGTCCCCTGCCTCTGCCTGGATGCCTGCGTGGTACCTCGGAGCCTAGGAGTCCCCGTGTCCTGGCTTTGCTCAGGTAGCGGGTATCCAGGCTCATTTTCTCTTGCTCTCTGCACCCTGCTCCCCAGACTGTTCTCAAAGGGGTTTTAGGTAAAGAAGTCACTTGTCCAAGTTGAGTCTCAGTCACTCCCTGCAGCCTGCAGGTCCCTCTAAGGCCTTGCTTATTGCAGGTCTTAAGTGGCCTCAGCAGCCTCCAGCCAACCATCGTCTCTCGTGTCCACCTGTGCAGGGTTAGTGCTTGGCTGTAGGACAATGTTGACAGTTGGGGAGGAGAAGGCCAATAGGCACTGTCACCAGAGCTAGGAAGGAAGCACTAATGTGTCACACACTAAGGCTGGGGGGAGGTGTCGGGATGGTTTTGGTTACCAGCCCTGTCCTCAGACACCTCTCCAGCTCTTCCACGGCGATGAGGTCACTCCCTGTGAGTATCCCCAAAAATAATAAACTCAAAGCTGATTGTAAACAGTGCCCATTCCTTCATAGCCTCTTAGCTTCTCTCTTCCAGGGGTGGTTCATGCATCGTGCCCTAACCAATGGCCCAGTTGGACACATGTTTTGACGTTGTTTTGTCCTCCGTCCCCTCCCTTCTGTGAGCACCCTTTGCCCCAGTTGTCTAGACAACCCCGGGATGGGAACGTCAGTAAGGAGGGAGCCCAGATTCTGTGGAGGGGGGCAGTAGCCTGCACTCTGGCTTCAGGAGTTCCAGAACACTTCCAAATTGTATGTGCAAAACTGGGCACAGGTAGCATTTTCTGGGAAGACGAATGATGTTTCCAAGGCGCCCATGGAACAAACAGGGAAGGTAAACAGCCTCACTGTGGTTTGCTGAAATTCCACAGGGCACCAAGAGGGACTTGGCTAAGGGCAGAGCCCTCGGATCCTTGAGCCTCTGGGGGACAGTCTTGGATGGCCAATGAGGCTGGGGCTGGTGGTTGGTGGGAGATGGCAGAGACACCGAGCGCTGATTTCTTCTGGAGAGTGACTTGAGTTTCGCCACTGTCCACGGGAGTTTCCTTCTGTCCCATGTGAACGTGGCCTCAACTGGCCCTGAATATGGGGTGGGTCCTTCTTAAGGTAGAGAGGTCCTTGTTACAGGATCTGAGGAAAACCCCAGGGACAAAGAGGTATGGGCCAGTGTCACTCATCTAGTCCTGCTGGTGGCGCTCTGTTCAACACCGCTTCTCCAGCCTGGGCACTATGAGGGCAGGGCAGTGGGGGAAGGCCCCGGCTAAAGCCAGGTTGCCTGTTGCTACTTGCCTCTTGGTGTGGAGCCGAGGAAGAGGTTCTCTGTGGATCAGAAGCCAGAATCTGGATGGAGATGCCATCAACACAGCTTACTGCAATCTGCAACATTCCACCTCCTACTCACCACGATACCTTTTGGCTTCCCATTAGGCCTGAATTCCGAACACATCAAAAAAGTCAGTTAGGAGGCTGTACTACCAGTTCTGGCCACTAGAGGGAGGCAGAAATACCATTGCCGCAGCCTAGAGCAGAAAATTCTGTCTGGCAGGGCAAGTGGTTTGAGAAAGAGTGGTGGGCAAAGCCCTACAGAGGTCTGCCTCTGTTAGAGTAGACTCTAAGGGTGCCGGTAATTAGTTCTGAGACGCTTTCCTAAGGCAAAAAGCACAGCAAAAATTATTTCAGAAATCTAGGAGAGGTTCCCGGTAGGTGAACTGTGGTCCATAGGGCTGTTGCCAGAGGTCACTCGTCAATTGCAAGGCAGGGTCTTGTCATAATCTGGGGCATGAATAAATATTTCAGGTCAGTTAAAACCACTGCTCTGGTTAGGCCACCTTTCCCGACAGTAAAAGTGAATTCAGACCCAGCTGGTGCTTAGCCGATGTGTGAGCCCTCTGACTGGCAGGCTGGTGTGATGGTGGCTTGAGCCCTTAGCTGCAAATTAGAGCTCCCCTGTGCAACATTCTACACTCCCAACCTGACTGAGACGCCACAGGCCAAGCCTTCCCCTGTGTGGTCACTAGGCCCTCCCACAGGAAGGTGGGATTCTGGACTCCCATGCCCAAGGTTTGACCCACCAATGAGGGAGGCCATATCAGAAGCTCCTGGAAAACCAGGAAGGTGTATGGGCCCCCAGGTCGGGCTTGGAAGACCAGGGCACTGAGAAATCTCTTGCAGAAGCGAAGGCTTGCCTGGGAACAACAGGACCTGGCCCTGGGGACTCTGGTTTCCAGGACAAATGCCTCCAGCATACCAAGGACCCTTGGCCAGCTCGGGGCTTGGCTGTGCCAGGCTGGCAGCAGAGCAGAGCACTTTCAGTGGGCCCTAACATCCTCCTTCCTGTTCTCATGCTCTGGCTCTGCCCTCCTGGAAGGTGGGCACATGGCTCACAGCTGGGTCTCAAACTTGTGCCCACAGGGCCCATGCTGCACCTTGAGAGGAGTCTCCTCACCTTGGGAGGTGAGGTGTGTCTTTGAGCACAACCTCAGCTCTTAGATCTGTCTTTGAGTTTCTCCTAGTGGGGTGGGAAGGGAAATGGGGGAAATTGCTCGAAATGTCCGTCCCCTCCTGGGAAAGATGCAAGGCTGTGCTCTGAAGAGAACTCAGTGTGCATTCTCTCTTTAGAGCTGGAATTGCAGGGTGGGAGTGCTGAGGGCCAAGGAAATCTGTCGTGATACAAACCAAAGGGATTGGGGTAGAGGTGGGACCGGAGCAGATCCAACAAATGGCTGTGAACATGACTTTCAGAGCACGTAGCCTGGGCTAGGATCTTGGCTCGATTCCCTTCTTGGGGCATGAACTTGGAAAAGCTGTTGTAACCTGGGGTGCCTCAGCTTCTTTTTCTGCCCAATGGGTTGTGAGGTGCTGACCAATGGGGTGCATGTGCCTGGGGGTGGAGCACTCACACAAGAAGGCTGGGAGTGCTGACTTGCTGTAGTTTTTGACCAGTGCCTGTTGGTGTAGATCACGGATAGACGCCTGTGAAGACACACGGCAGAGGTCAGTGGAGTAACGGTCGAAGAAACGGGCTCTGTTGTTGCGGGTTTTTCCTGCTTGGAAGAGCGCTGGATTTGCCTTGGGGCGTCCGGCGGGACCTGGGGTTAAAGTAGAGAGGGCTTCCGGCTACCCTCAGTCTTCCCTCCGTGGGCCAGTGTCCTCTGCCACAGGGGCGAGGTTGAGTGTGGTCCAGACTGTGACTTCGATCACACTGCGAGGTTCCCAAGAATCCGGACTGTGCCCCTTTCCCTCTTGACTGCCTCTTTGTGGCGACCTAGTACTGATTCCTACATGTGGCAGTGGAGTTTCACATTTTAAATGGGACTCGCAGATCTCAGGCCTCAGTAGACATGACCCTTTTGGCCCAGACCCTGTGCTTCTCCCCAGGCAAGCAGAGCCTGCCGCTCTGCTTTCTTCCTTGGGACGCTGGGTCCATGGTGGTCAGACTCTGATTGCAGAGGGACTCCGGTCCCTGCTAGTTCCCATTTGTGAGCCGCACAGTGGTCTTTAAATTCTCCATCTGAGCAATGGAGTGGGCTCCTGTTCTACCAGAGGAGTTTGTAAGGAATGACAGGGGACCCCAAATGGCGTCTGTGTTTGCTTGGGAGATAGGGGTCCACTTAGCTGTCCTCTAGAGGAGTCGGCACACGGCAGATGGTGGGAGGGGATGTGCACAAAGGATACGAGTTTACCTGCCAGCCACAAGCCAACCACGAACAGACACAATGACAAAGGAGAACATGCATTCCAGGTCTCAGAATTCACCCCCTTCTATTCTTGTCCCTGCCACGCTGATTCATGGATGCGCTGGGGCAGTGAATTTGGTGCATGTTTGAAGGCCAGGTGTGCTTACGCTTGAGGAATAGAGTTGTGTCTTGGAGGGAAAGTATACAGCTTCCAGATGGGAGCTAAAGCAGGCCATAGGCCCCGGGAGGCTCTGCTGCCTGTGCTGGGGGCTGATACCTGCTTACAGAGTGAATTTGCTCATTTGGATAAAGGGCTCAGCCCTGTGTGAACGCTTAGTAGGTGTTAACTAAAGCCACACTGGCTTTGGTGCTTTAATTGGGCTTGGTAAAGTGTGTCTTTGGCTTTTAGGTAGCTGCTGTGTGTGCTGCATATGGTTGGAAGACCCTTGTCCCCAGCTGTCCCTGTGGAGCTACCTTCTAGACCTGAAGGCCTGGGGTGATTCACCTCCATCACAGGACCAGTTAAATTCTGGAAGGTCAGGACTGTTTTCATTTATTTCCGACACAGAGCCCATCTGCGCCTGGCACCTCAGGCACTTGGGCATGCATGCTAGACAGCTCCTGCCCATAGGAGCCCTGGTATGGGAAGAGAAATCATGGCTTGTTGAAGGTGGGCAGGGGTGGGCAATAAATGTTGCAGCTTCAAAGTTGGGGCTTCATGACTCAGGGGTGGTGTTAGATCGGCTGGAGCCCTGAGTCTGCAGTCAATGCAGGGAGCAGGCAAAGTCATGTTTTGTGGTCTGGGAGCAGACTGCAGGGGCACAGAGAAGGGCAAAGAGAGGGGTACAGAGCCCAAGCCCATCTGCCTGCTGTCTCCACAGCCCCTGGCCACAGGGCTGAGGTGCAGATCACTGGACTTCCCGGACAGGCTGGATCTGAGGCACTGGCAGCTGAGTCTCCACTGGGCAGCAGTCCTGTTTTGGTAAGTGTTGAGCTCCCTGGCACTGGGTCTGGGGGCAGCCCTGGCATCTCTCAGGACCTGGTGGCTGAGTCAGCATCCCTTGCAAGATGCTTGGGGCATGCTGTGAACCCATGGCATGCACTTCCCATTTCCCCCTTCCCGTGGCCCTCCTTATCCTCTTTTCTGTGGTCCAAAGGGCTGGAGGGGTGTCTTGGAGAAGCCAAGGACTGTTTCTCTGGGCAGTGAGCATCACCACCTCACAGCCAGAAACAAACCTTGGGTCCTGGGCAGAGCCACATCCCAGCAACCTTTGGGACCTGCCCTTGCTTCAGGCCAGTTGACTTACACCATCACAGGGACCTGCAAAGTCTATATTTGGAGGTAGCTGGGTTCCCTCTTTTGCAAAGTAGAAGGACCATGGGCTTTTACTGTCAACTCAGAATGCATGGGGCATAGGGGGTCCCCCCTCTCAAGGACTTGTGTTTGGGGAGAGGAATTTGGTGTGCATCCTTTCTCTAAGGATAGGTAGAGGGTGGAGAAAAAGACCATAGTCTGGGAAGGTGGGTATCAATCAGCCTGTGTGATTAGAAGATGATGGTCATGATTGAGGAGATGCCAGCAGAAGTCACAGGCAGTGGCAGAGTGTGGCATGAGGCACCCCTTAAGTACGGGAGGTGGGGGAGTTGGGCTTTGGCACAGTAAGTGGGCTGGGCTAGGGAAACCAGAGCTCACTCCATGAGGCCTCAGCCATCACAATTTACTTAGCTCTTGGGGCACAGGGAATGTGTCTGTTTAGCTCTTGGAAGCTCCCAGGAGACACCAGGAAAATGACAGTCTAGTGCAGGTTTTGTAGATCCTAGGGGATGTGTGAGCACTGGGCAGGGGCTGGGTGTTCTCCGGGATTCCACGGAGCCCCTTGCTGTGGGAAGCACTTAACCCTTGGCTGTCCTCTGTCCACAGACCCTGTGCCTTAGAGCAGCAGCCCCATGACGGTGTCCAGCCATGCAATGTTCCTGGAAGGCTGTCCTCCTCCTTGCCCTGGCCTCCATTGCCATCCAGTACACCGCCATCCGCACATTCACTGCCAAGTCTTTCCATACGTGCCCTGGGTTGGCAGAGACTGGGCTGGCAGAGCGGCTGTGTGAGGAGGGCCCCACCTTCTCCTATAACCTCTCTAGGAAGACCCACGTCCTCATCCTGGCCACCACCCGCAGTGGCTCATCCTTTGTGGGCCAGCTCTTCAACCAGCACATGGATGTCTTCTACCTGTTTGAGCCTCTCTACCACGTCCAGAACACACTCATTCCCCGCTTCACCCAGGGCAAGAGCCCGGCAGATCGTAGGGTCATGCTAGGGGCCAGCCGGGACCTGCTGAGGAGTCTTTATGACTGTGATCTCTACTTTCTAGAGAATTACATCAAGCCACCTCCTGTCAACCACACCACTGACAGGGTCTTCCGCCGAGGGGCCAGCAGGGTCCTCTGCTCCCGTCCAGTGTGCGACCCTCCAGGGTCCCCTGATCTGGTCTTGGAGGAGGGGGATTGTGTGCGCAAGTGCGGCCTGCTGAACCTGACCTTGGCAGCCGAGGCCTGTCGTGAGCGCAGCCATGTGGCCATCAAGACTGTGCGGGTGCCTGAGGTAAATGACCTGCGAGCCCTGGTGGAAGACCCTAGGTTGAACCTCAAGGTCATCCAGCTGGTACGAGACCCTCGTGGCATCTTGGCTTCCCGGAGTGAGACCTTCCGGGACACCTACCGACTCTGGCGGCTTTGGTACGGCACAGGGAGAAAACCCTACAACCTGGACGTGACGCAGCTGACCACAGTGTGCGAGGATTTCTCCAGCTCCGTGTCCACCGGCCTGATGCGGCCCTCCTGGCTCAAGGGCAAATACATGCTAGTGCGCTATGAGGACCTGGCCAGAAACCCCATGAAGAAGACAGAGGAGATCTACGAGTTCCTGGGTATCCCCCTGGACGGTCACGTGGCGCGCTGGATCCAGAACAATACTCGGGGCGACCCCACTTTGGGCAAGCACAAGTACGGCACAGTGCGCAACTCTGCGGCCACTGCCGAGAAGTGGCGCTTCCGCCTCTCCTATGACATCGTGGCCTTCGCCCAGAACGCATGCCAGCAAGTGCTGGCCCAGCTGGGCTACAAAATGGCCAACTCGGAGAAGGAGCTGAAGAACCCGGCCGTCAGCCTGGTGGAGGAGCGCGATTTCCGACCCTTCTTGTGACCCGAGTGTGGTGGGGGTGGGAGGCAGGTGGCGCTGGTTTTGCTGACGTGGACCTACTATGGACGGTTTTTTAACTGTTGCCTTATCTCCCTCCTTCCTCTCCCACCCTGTCTGTGTGTCCTTCCCACCCTGTCTGTGTATCCTTCCCACCCCTGCCCACTCCCCTTCTGCCTCTTTTTGCCCCTGAAATTTGCACTATGTCTCGGAGGGGAATCACTGGGGCAGAGGGCGTGTGATGTGGGGTACGCCCCCCACCCCATTCAGACACAAGGCTGTTGGGTCTCTATGTGGACGGGGACAATGTTTACAGGCACCCACTCGCACATTCACACGTGCACCCAGGCACACCCGAGGAGAGGCGCCTCAGCACACAACTTCTACTTTTGCAGCCGTCTTCTCAAGGTAAGAGGGTGGCTACGAGGGGACCACCTCTCCCCGGTTTAGGAGAAGAGTTCCTCCTTCCCCCGTCCCTGCTTCCTGCCCCAGATTCCCACTCCCTCCCTTGGAGCAGGGCACCTGTCCCTCCTGCGCACCTTTGCCTGGTGGTGAGCAGGGTTTTACTGTGAGGTGAACTGGGACTACTTCCTTTCTCTCTGGTTTGTGATGAGCTTGTCTGTCTGAGTCTTGTGGCTACCCCTGGACCAATAATGGCTAATGAATCGTAGAAGTTTCTGATTGATCTTGGGGTCCCTCTGTGATATTTCTTTGTGCCAAAAAAAAAAAAGACAAAAAAATGTGGATCAGTTTGCTAAATGAAAATTGAAATGCTTTATTGGTGTTTTCTGTAAATAAAAGTGTGCAGTATTGTCTGAGCGTGATTTGGGGGCCTTTGAATGTTAGACAATGGGTTCTGGATATTCCTTGCTTTGGAGATGAGATGGAGAGAGAAAAGTGAGAATTAAATGAGAAACCTGCTATTCGGAACTTTTTTTTTTTTAAAGCACTAGAATGTTCTTTTTAAATTCTTTGACGGTTGCGTACATACAAACGATCTGTCATGATCATATGAATCCCCAGCTCCCCTCCCACTTCACCCAGGACCCCCAGCTCTCCCTTTCCTCTCCCTCTTGGAGCTCCTACCTTTCAGATCTCTTGATGGCTTGGAGCTTTCCATTTTATTCCCTTTTTATCAGCCATGATGGGTGGCATCTTCTGGCCAGGGTGCTCAAAGTATTTAACAAGAGCTATGGCTTTGGGACTCCGAGTGGAACAGGTAAGAATGAGGTCCTGAGATGTCCATCCTCTACCAGAGGTCCCTCCTGTGTTAGGAGGCCTGGGGCCAAGGAAGCTGGAGAGAAGTCCAGGGGCTGGGAACAGGTCAGTGCCTCAGCAACCTGACAAGTTTCCTGGTCTGCACACAGTGGGGGCGTCTGCTGTGACTCCCCATCTTTCGTGGACAATCTAGCAGGCTCTTCTAAGGGGACTTCCCCAGTCCTCACCCCAAGAACATGTAACATGAAATTTAATAGAAAATAAGAACAGTATGTTTTACTATGATTTAAGAACCAAAAAGGGACTGGCCCATCTACCTGTTTGGAGCAGGTGGCCCAGGACTGAGTCCCTTCTCCGGGTGGACCACGATCCCCAGACTGCCATTTCTAAGCTCACTGCTTCGTAACATGAAATTTACCATGGAAAAATAGATCTGAGCTCCAGTCATTGCCGCCATCATCTTTATTTTACGTGTGTGGGGTTTTGGCTGCACGTATTGTCTGTGCACCGTGCGCAGGCCTGGTGCCCGTGGAAGACAGAAGAGGTTGTTGGATCCCCTGGAACCGGAGTTATGGTTGCTTGTGAGCCTCCATGTGCATGCTGGGAATTAAACTTCGGTCTTCTAGAAGAACAGCCAGTGCTTTTAACTGCTGAGCCATCTCTCCAGCCCCCACCTTCACTGTTTTTAAGTGCACATCTCATTAAATACGTGTATAGTATGCAAGCATTACCACCATCCTCCTCCATAACTTTTCATCTTGTAAAACTCAAAGTCTGTTCCTTCAAAACAACTCATCCCTTTCTCTCCCACAGCTCCTAGCAACCATCCCACTTTCTGTCTGTGTTTTTCTGACTACTGTGAGTACCACATATAAATGGAATCATGCAACATTTGTCTTTTGGTGACTGGCTTCCTTCCCTGAGCATAATGTCCTTAAGGTTCATCACCTTGTACACTCCATCATCCTACCCTTACTTTTTAAGGCCAGTGTATCTCACATTTTGTTTATCTGTTAATCCTTCAATGGGCCTTGGGCCACATCCGTGTGTCAATTGCTGTGAATAGTGCTGTGAACAGAGGGTATATACTCAGAAGTGTGATTGCCAGACCCTCTGGCAATTATTTTTAATTTTTGTAAGATCTGCTCTGTTTTCTATAGTGGTCATGCTATTTTATTATGTTATCATTTTTGTGTGTGTGCATAATTTTCTGTGTGTGTGGGTTGCATACCCGTGTGCATGTATAGGAAGAGGCCAGCGGAAGGTGCCGGGTGTCCTCTGTCATCCCGCCTTATTTCTTTGAGGCAGCGTTTCTCCCTGAACCAGGAGTTTATGGCTGGCAGCCAGCGAGCCACATCAGTGCTCCTTTCTCCTCCACCCACGGCCCTGGGGTTACAAGTGCGTGTGCAGCTGCAGCTGGCTTGTTACGTGGGATTTTAGTTCAGGTCGTTATGCTTGCAAAGCCGCTGTGTTACGAACTGAGCTATCTCTCTCGCCTCTGTACGGCTGCATGTTGCTGTGCCACGCAAGGTTTCCATCACTCCACATCCTTTCAACTCTTCCTCTCCTCCTCCCTTTCAGTGGTAACCACCCTGATGTGTGTGAGGTGATGAGCTAGCCTGTTTTCTTCCATTCTCCCTCACCAGGAAGGTCTGAATGGGGTCTCAGGTCGTGTGCCCAGATATCCTGGGCCCTGGCTCTACCTTGGTTGACAAGCTCCATCTTCCTAAGGTGTTGCCCTCAGCTGTGTGGTCTAATGATTTCCCAAGCTGCAAGAAGGAGAAGAAATGGGAAAGGACGGCAGAGACACACCTCTGCTTGCATGGGTGCAGTCCCAAAGTGACAGTCCTCCCTTCCGCTCCTGGTCGTGTGGACGTAGCTAGGTGCAAGGGGAGCTGGGTCTTTCATCTCAGTGGCTTGTACTGTGAAGGTGGCTGATGAATCCAGGGTGGATCCTCCTGGGATTTAGGTGCCTCTTCTGAGGTTCCTTCTCTGTAGAGGAGGAGGCAATATGATCAGCACCAAAAAGCTGGTCTGAAAAAGTCTGCCAGGACTGCTGGGCCAGGCCTAGGCTTGTCACTACTTTCTGGTTTATAGGAGTTACGCCCAGGCTGCGGGAAAGATGTCAAGAGGTCAGTTGACTTCTTGGACCAACATCATTTGTTGGCCACTCTAACACCAGAGAAGGCTGGCTTTAGTCATGACCACTGCTGATGGTCCTTCCCCTGATAAAGCAGACTAGGGTATGTGTTCCATGTGTGCACTTGTGGGGAGGCCAGAGGTTCCTCGGGAGCCAATGTTTTCTGTTACAGGATCTCTCACTGGGACCTGGGCTTGCTGATTAGGCTAGGCTGGCTGGCCCGCAGGCTCCGCTGCTGCCCTTACGAGCACACAGCACCCTGCCTGGCTTTTTAAAATGTGAGTTCTGAGAATTGAACTCAGATCCTGTGCTTGCACAGCCAACAGTTTGTAGACCGAGACATTTCCCTGGGCCCCCAGATGGCTCCCTCTATGACCAACCTGGGCCTGTGTTCTCTCTCCTTCAGTGTGTGGCTTCCGGTTAGAATTGGGAGACGCCAGAGGTTCCTTCAACTGGAAGGAAGCTCTGCCACACCTATGCCTGGGACTTTGGGGAGAAAGCTCTTTGCTGATGGGATCATTCTTTATAGATGTATTCAATATATTCATGCAGTTTTGACTCTTTTACGGGCAGGACTGTGGGTATTCTTTCAAGAAACACTGTCTAGTGAAAGTGAACAAGAGAAAACATGGCCGCAGTAAATGCAACCCATAGGTTGGACCACAGATAGAGCAGGGCCACAGTCCACTCGATGTTAGAAATCTCGTTTGTTGTGGTGATCACGGGCTCCTCCATCAGCCTCAGGAGCTCATTCTTCAAGCCCTTGTCCTTGGAGATTAGACAAGTCAGGGTCATTTCAGGGTGGTGGCATCTGAGTTGGGTCTCAGGGAGGGAGGAATTGGCTTTTCAAGAAGAATGAGAAGGCTGCTCCCAGCTTGAGGAGAAGAAGCATGTGCCACAGTGTGGATGGGAGGCCTGGGATGTTGGGCCGGGCTGCACTGGGGATGGGTGGGCTGGACTAGCCCTGACCCTCATCTTCTCGAGCCTGCAACCTTGGCCCCTTCACCAGGGATGTTTAACCTGCAGGGGAGTCCTCCCTACTCCCCACAATCTAATGTAGTTCAGGCTGGCTTCAAAGTCAATAGGTCGCCAAGGATGACCTTGACTTCTTGTCTTCCAGCTCCTGAGTAGTGGGATTATGGGCATGTGCTACCACACTTGGTATCACGGGGTGCTGGGCTTTGTGTCTGTAAGGCAAGCATCCTGCTAGCTCAGCCACACCCCCGGCTCTGCAATAGATTTTTTTTTTTTTTATGATCAAATCACACTGAAATGAGAAAGGATAAGACTAGATTCTTCCACTGTTCTCTGCAGCCCTGCACACACCAGCCTCGCCCTTCTCCGGCTTCACGCTCTAGTCTCCATATTTATTTCAGCCCTTGGATATACTAGGGTAGATTCTGCAGCCACAGCACTCCATTTACTCACACCTCCCTCTCCCCTGGGAATGAGCCGAGGCTGCTCACACCCACTTTGGGCTTGGCTAAGTAGCTTGCTTCAGTCAACACAATGAGATCAATTGCGGGGCTAAGAGAGAGGCTGCCTTCTCTACGGAGTGAGGTAAGCTCCAGGGCGACTTGCGGGAGAGTTTAAGAGACGAGCTGGGGAACTCAGGAGCCCTAGTTAATGCCACCCACAGCCTGGTCTGGATAGTTACAGGCACCCGGCTGAGTCTAGCCAGATTTCTGACTCAGCATTGAGGATTAAAAGCGTGTCTGTTGTTTGAAGATGCTGAATTTCTGAACAACTTATTACACGGCAAATCTGACTGATACATAGCCTCTTTGCTGTTCCGTGCTGGAGTCCTTACAGGCTGTTCCTCATGCCTGAGCGTCTGTTCCTATTCCTTTCCCTAGTTAAAGTCTGTTCACTCTTTGGATCCCAACTTAATCAGTATTTCCTTGATTTTACCAGGTTGATTCTTTTATCTTGATCACGGGCCCTTACATAGCTGCTTCTCTATCTTATATATCCGGACCACAGGCCCTTAGAGCACCGTGTACATCTCTTTTATAGTGTTTATAGCATTTACTGCGGTTGTAATCACACCTTTTACTACAGGACCCGGCGCACAATAGGTGTCCAATAAACACTGGCCGACTGAGTACAAGAGTGAATGAAACAGGTGTTCCCAAGCTGGTAAAAGAGCTTGCCTGTCTGGAGCCTTCACATGGAGCAGGCAGAGCTTCCCAAGGATCCAAGAGACCTGAGCAGCTTGTGCCCTCCCAGGAGGCTGCTGGCTTGTTCTAGGAGGCCGAGCTGAGCTTTGTTCCATATCCTTCCCCGACATCCTGAGTCGGCATACCGACATCAGCGTTGCAGTTTCCTTGTGATGTCACCACCGGCCTGGTGCTTGTTGTCATTTGCTGGGCCGACACTCTGCGTAACAGTGAGCACCACACGGCCTGGATCACACTTCACAAATCTCCCCCTTCTGTTAGTCAACCCTTTCTAGTGGTGGTTTCC